TTTAAACCAAACCCGATCCGAAAGCCCAATCCTGAGATCTTAGGTTATAAATCCCACACCCTAACTAAATAGACCCTGTTTATAGAAGCCCTACCAAGTCCTAGGAACCTTCTCACGTTTGGACGCTGTGTTCCCAAGTCCCACCCAAACCCCGAAATTTGACAATAGGAACGTCAGCGCCTGCCTCAGGGTCAGGGCCTACGCCGCTCCGTCAGACTAAGCCTAAACCCATATAGTAATATAGAATATCAAACACCTAAACCATTATTACGTGCGAGAGCAACATCTGACTACTAACTCGTAGAGCGTCGGGTTGTCTTGTTGACAATCCAAAGCTGGTACCTCCGCAGCGTGGGATGCCGGTTCACCTGGCACACGAAACCATCTCCCTCTGGAAGAAGCGTTGTCAGAACCTTCGGCGTCTCGTGCCTAGGCGCACCATGCGGAACAGACACATCTGCTCGCTGGAGACGAAGCTCCGCACGTCTCTTCTCGTCCAGGGCCACATCTGCCAGCTTCTCGAAATCGGGCTGGTCTTCGGGATCTAAAGACTTGAACGCCTTCAGAAGATCATTCGTGTGCCTGGATGCGGTTCCAAGACTGGACTCCTTCCGGCCCATGATTGCATCCACCATCTGCGGAGTTCCCTCCGCGCTGAAGAGGTGGCGAACCAACCCTTCAGCGTAGTCCTTCTTGATCAAATTGCCGTTGACTCCGTGGCCGCAGCCCACGTCGGGCAGGTCGAAGCCGTAATGGCCATGCAAGGCAACCAGCTGATCCACAGTCAAGTAGACGCCGCCCCTCACAGCGGCTGGGACCAGCTCGGACAAGTCACCGCATTGGCCGAGGACCACTGCGTGACGTCGGAGGTCGATTGGCACCTGCAGCGGGTGCATCACTTCCACTGGGCACCTCTTCCACGGAGAGCCCTCGATGCGATCATTGATCATCCAGGTCGGCAGTTGTGCAGGGCTGTCGCCGAGGGTGAAGAACATCTTAGCGGGATATTATTATTGTCATTCACCGACAA